ACCATCTGCAACAGGAGGTGACGAGCCGCCACAAACGGCAGCGAGAAACATGTCTGTGTGAATGAGCACTAACAGCATTCAGAACTGAAACCAACAGATCAGCTTTCACAAAGACGGACACCTTCTGTGTCAAAGCCGGGGGCTTCCCACAGTAAGCCACGCTGCCAAGATTTGGTTTCTCAGCCAAAGTTAAGCCTTTCCCCGGCCTCCGGACTTCTCACCCACCCGCCTCTTGATCCTTTGTTCAGCATCCCTTCATTTCACCCCTTCCCTTTAAAAGGAAAAAGGCAGCTACAATGCTTCACGTTGTTCTGGGTTTTTTAAAAAAAGGAACTCATGGTCAGCTACCCGATCAGACTTGGTCTGCAGAGCTCAATACCCCAAGGTCTACTCAGAGTAGCAGTGGCTGCCTGGAATAGCCTCCCCCAACCTCGTGTTTTTACAACTCCCAGCAACCTGCAGCTCCGGATAGATTTGCCTTCAACAGCAGTAGGGGTCCCTCCCCAAGTCCCCCTAAATCTCCTAGAAAAAGGAAGAGGGGTAAATGAAATTGTCCGCACAGCTTGCCAAGCTAAGAATTTTACCTTGATTTCCCAGGTGTTCACCGCTGTGGCGCTTCCTGCCTGGTTGGGAGGGCTGCTTCCTCAACTGACCAGATGGACTGGAGGGGTACGGTTGGGGGGGGGGGGAAGATGGGTAGCCAAAACTGTGCCACAGGAATCCAGTGTACCTAGCTTCCGTGCTGCACCGGACAGAGCGGTCAACTTTCTCCCAATGCCAAGACATGCTCTACATTCCCACGTACCGTGGAGGCGCCAACGTAGAGTCGGCAGTGCGCTTTCAGGCGCTGAAGGCTGGGAGCAGAAACCCTCATCTCCCTGAAAGCAAGCAGAACTGGGGGATTTGACAAAGGGTTGACCTACTTCCTTGAGGACCGCTTCCATCCATGCCTTTTTCTGTGACAGCACAGGCCACCCAAACTGCGGAGTAGGCTCTCCCACCTTGAAGGCAGAGCTCCCTGATAGTCCATGCCCCCATCTTAAAGCAAGGCTCCCTGATAGTCTACCCAAATTATCCCAATCGCTGTTGGATTCAAATCAGTGGCCCCCCTCCCCATAAAAACCTAGGGCCCAAAGTGAATTTGCCCCATGATGGACCTGCAGCAGGGCTGTTTTAGCGACAATGTAGACAGGACTACTCTGGCCTTCTAACCTGCAGTCCCGAGAATTTAAGGCCAGAGCCTCAAAAAATAAAAACCTAATGCCCTCTGCAGACCCTCATTCCCTGAAGCGCAGTGGTTTGCTCCTTTTTTCCCCTTCGCAAGGAGTGCTTGAGGGCCACAGTTCTGCTTCTCTGCAGCAGCGCTGAACTAAAAGAAAGCAACTCCGAGAGAGTGAACAGGGGGCCAAAGGCAATTCTTTTTTAATTGTGTTCAGTTTCTCAGTACAACAGTGATTTAACATGAAAGGCGACCAATCACGTAGATGTCTAAGGAAAGCGCCACTCGGCCGGAACGTTTCACTAGCCCCACTGAGACTATCGCTATTGCACGGGGAGGAAAGCCCGCTGAGACGTGGGATGCACGGGCACCGTCCCCTTTGCGTCAAGCGCTCCTGGGCTAGTTCTCACCGAGATGGCAAACCTGTGTCTGGGGTGCACCATTTCTGCCTCTTGGGGGCAGTTCACGGAACAGAATGCTTTTTCTCATTAAAGAGGTTCTCTGGGCACAGAAGGAAGCGTGGACCACAAGGGCACGAGTCCTGCTTTCGCCGAGTGATGCCATTTTCTAGGTGTGGCTCTTATCCATGGTGGCGGCTGAGTAAAGCAACCTTCTCCAAGCCGGTGCTCTGCAGCTGATCATACTTGTCCAACTAGCTACCCTGAAACAACTTCAGGGCACCAGGCTGGGGGGGGGGGTTGTTAGCCCGGAGACAACTGACCCAGGATAATAGCAAAGCTTGTTAATATTACGCATGATGTGGGGACAGAATAGATGGAAAATCTCTTTTTTTCCTTCGTTCTCTAACCTTAAGGTCATCTTAGTCCCTGCTGACACAGCATCCGCGATAGCAGATCCAGCCTTACTTGAAAAATCTCAAAACTGGGCCCTGCCGTGAAGCTGACTGGCAGCAGCAGCAAGAGAGAGAGAGAGAAAGCACTCCTTTCAGGCAACATGTAATGGGTTTTATGGGCCGTGATGCTGCAGGATTTGATGGCGGTCACTAACTCAGGTGAGCTTTAAGGAAAGGCTGGACAAAGTTCCATTGTTGGGGATGGGGTGGGCGGAAGGTCTGACAAGTAACATGAGCCACGATAATTAAATCAGCATGCCTCCGAATTTCAGGGACAGAAGGCAGAGGGGGCCTTTTATGCCTTGCTCCTGGACTTCCCGCAAGCACCCAGTTGGTCCCTGAGGACACAATGCTGTGCCAGAGAAACTCCCCTTAAAGACTTGCATTCCATCAGGTGAACGCCAGCACCGATCACGGTATGGAGCAGAACAACCCAGACACACGCACACCAGCGGCTGAGAACCAGCTTGGCAAGATGAGTTTGTCGGGCAACTTTCCCCAGCCTGTGCCCCATGAGATGCTTTGGGCTTCGACTGTCATCAAACCGAGTCAGCACGGCTGGTGGTCAAGGAACCTCTGGAAGGCACCAGGTTGGGGAAGGTTACTGGCAATGTCCCAAAGGGCCCCGAGTCCAAGTTTACTCTCCTCCCCACGGTTCCTCAAAGGATGGGCAGTTTTTGTTTTCAGGAAAACAAGACACCACCTCCACTGCAAATGCGCAAGTGCACTGTACGTGTCCACAGAGAATGATGTGCCCACTCTTGGCGAGGTTCCAGGAAAGCCCCCAAAAATGGAAGGAGCTGCTACCGGGAGCTGTAGGCTCTCAGGTTTCGTCGTTTCCCTTGCATAGCTGAAACCCTACCCATGAAAAACTGGAGGTTTGGACTGCTCCCCACGCCTGCCTGGGATAATTATTTAAAGATCTAAACAAGCTTATGAGCCCAACTGCAGGCTTGTTGCTGAGAAGCATGAATTTTCCGGACACCTGGCTACCCATGTCCTCCCAACACCACTGCCTGGGGCCACCTTTGTTCTCGTTTCTAACACCGTCACACAAAAAAGCAGCCTGCCTCCGGATGTCAACTGCTTGGAGACAGATGCACCTTCCTAGAGTGCACACACTGCTGCTTTTCTGGCCAATTATGGGCCCTTTCCTTTATTTCCCGGTCCAAGCTCGAGAGACCGGAAGTAGCAAGAACCTTGATCTACTGAGCCTACCTCCAAGAATCAAGCAGGGCAAACCTACTCCTTGCTGGGATCTTCTGACCTCCACTAATAATGTGGCGGAGGAGGGAGGATGTTAAATTTTAAATTCCACCTCTCAGAAGTTTTAAGCTTTAAGCTTAAATTTGACTTTGCAAGGCTTAATCGGTGTTTGCAAGATTCTGGTATCCCGCAACCTCCGCTTCCAGCTGTGTGGGGTCATTTCACCCTTTTCATCTTTGAAATATATGTGGCTTCCCTTTGTTTCCAATTCTTTGTTTAAGCCAGAGCTGCGTATCAGGCCCTTGCTATAAATTCCCTGCATTAATCCCAGGAAAGAAGCCTTTCGAGGCGGCTTATGAAGGTTCCTATTGTGTACAAAATTTTAAGGCTCACACACAGGAAAAAAAAGGCAAACCTTGGGTGCCCACAGCTGCTCGATACTAACCGTGTGCTCAAAAGGACACTCAGTCAAGACGCTAGAGTGGAGTCGGGGTGCACGTGCTGAAGGCAAGCGCGCCAGGGGGACCAAGTCTGCCCTTTGGCTGCTTCCAAGGCGGGCGAGCGCGGTGCACGCAACGCCTTCTTGGTCAAGACCCAGGCTGGCCTAGTTCAACTCTTACCTGCTTCCTTGACTGAGCTATGTAAGCAGTGTGATAATCCGTAGCCTGCCTGATGCAAAGAACCGTCTTTGCGCTGGCAAGAAACAGCACGGGGGAATTGAGAGAGAGGAGGGTGCCAGACACTCGTTGCCGTTTCTGAGGATGCATTCACACCACCACTGCACTGCTGCAACTACGGAGGGAGGCGCCCTCTCCCCGTCGATCCCAGTAGGGTTCGCACGTCTGGTGGAAGGTACATGCCAAAGCCACCGGTTAGCACTGGAAAGAGACAACGCCAGCTCTGAGCATCCTGAGGGACACGGCTTCAAATCCAATTATTCTAGGCCAAAATGTTGCTGCTTTCTCTGAAGGACAACGAGCTTGTCAAGCACGGCTCGTGGAACAGGGGAAGAGGGAAGCAGGGCGACCTAACTGTTGAGCATTTCTGCCTATGCTGTACAGCGGCAAGAGACTTCGGGTGTGGTGGATGTTATCTCCAGCAGCAATTGTCTGGGGTACCCAACTAGCACAGAGTTAGGTAGCGCAGAACGGTCTGGAATAAAAGGGATGGAAACTGCAGAAGCCTAAGAAAACGGGGATCTCCGGCCTAAGCAAGGCAGGGAACTGAGGCAAGAGCTGGGAATGTGCTGGGGGAAAAACGGGGAGGGTGGGAGGAAGGAATCAAAGGGAGAGGAAACGTGGAAGCAAAAACGGCTGGGAAGACTGCCTGCCTGAGCTCAAGAATGGCATGGTGAGTCAATTCTGGGGTTGTGGGTTTCTGACAGTGATGCCACAGTGACAAAGCGATCACGAGGGGCACTGCCCGTGTGGGGACACCGCCACGTAGTTGTCCAGAGCGTGCAAGTGCAATGACATCCCAAGAAAGAAGCAAGAGCCTGCTCTGCTGGCGCCTGATGCACGCACCGCCATTCAACGGAAGGACCGTGATCAGGGAGTGCCTTTTAAGAGGCATTCCGCTGAGCGAAGCACCTGCCTAGAAGTAGGAATACTGAGGCCACGCCACCATCAAGTAGCAGGGTGTTCCTTTGGCAAAAGGGCGGAGGACACCTTTCGGGGAAGTGACCAGCAGCGGGGTTTTGCAAGGGGCGTTCCACAGGGATACAGTTCTTTGTCTTTCCTAAGCAGGTCACTGTACATCTGATCGTATGTCGTTTTGAAATCGTAAACGTTTGGCTTGTCTGGTGCTGGTCCTGGCAATTTCACGTGAGTCCCGGTACCGAAGGATCGGACGCTGAAGCCACGTTTACTGAAAGACACAAAAAAGGGAGGGGAAGGGAGGAGACTTAATTATTTTGAATGCACCCGGAGTTTACGTATCAAAAACTACACTGGTGGGGGGGGGGGGGGGGGGGAGACAAACACATTCTGGCCCCTTGCACCACTGCTTGGGCGATTCACGCTCTCAAGTATATGCTCCGTGTACTCAGTTGGCTCCATAATCAACCATTAAAGCAAACCTCGACATAAGCAATGGCGACTAAGAATTATACAGCAGCTTTCTCTACTTAATAGCAGAAAAAGTAGCACAAGCGCAGAACGTGCGCCGTTCCTTCTGCAGCTCCGCAGAGTGGGGATAGCAGTGCTTTAATACTCTAATCACAGCCCTTGCAGAAGATTGCCCATTTTAAAATAGCCATCAATTAAGCTGTTAAGCAGACAGTGATTCTAACCTCTGGTTCCCCCCCTCAAGTGTGTGGATCTGCCATTTTGGAAAGCACGTGTGCCATTTCAAAGGAGAGCCCTGCAATCTCCGAAATAAAATCAGCTGTGCAGCAAACGGCTGGCACTATTTTTATTTCCATCCTTCCAAATGAGGCAAACTGGTCGATATTAGATTGCAGAAGTACGGGCAGGAACACTTCCCCGCACTGCTCAGAAAAGAACTTGTATAACCCTGAGGGCCATGATTGGAAAAGACGACGACTGGCTCAGACGGAAGTTCCAAATGAGTGAAAAGCTACCTTGTGCATTTCAACAAGGCCCAGACGCAAAGTGTTTCTTCCAAAATATTGCTGTGGTAATCCTGAAGTTAGCAACTTGCCTGCTAGACTTGATGAACCACCCAGGAATCTGAGGTTTCCACGGAGGCAAACCTGCTTCCCAGGAGCAAATGCCCCCTGTCGTTGGGCAAGGGCAGCTGGGAGAGAGATCTCCACCTGCTTTCTTGCCATCCATATCCCATGCGACCAAGAGGGGACCTTGCTTCTCTTTGCCAGCCAAATGACTGCCGGAATCTAACAAGCAAGGCATGGGAACAGCCTTCTGCTCTTTCTGTCCCCACCAGGACAGAAATCCTGTCGTGCAACAGCCCCCTAGAGGCCCTTCTGTCCTCCGTGGAATTGCCTAGGGCCACCCCTGTGTTGGCTGGCAGCAATGTTCGAAAAGCAGCTTGTCTCCCAATGTTTTGGTCTCTTATTTGTGCGGTTGCATAAATGCTGGTGAGCCAGGCTGAGGGTGTCTGAGCCCAGGTACATGAACAGCTGCTCCCTCTGTGCCATTTTAGTATCTAAGCCATGAGAAGATGTTTCCTCTCGAGGCTTAATAAAGCTCATTATAGGCTTGTTTCCTCCCCAGAAACAAGCAAAAGACATTCTTTGCTAGGACCAGTTGATCAACAAAATCCATACAGCAGGCCACTTGACAGGGTGGCCGAGCGAGCTTCGCTGGAAGCTTCTTGAAACGCTGGAAAGCTAAAATGAGCAGAGGACTTGCTGCGTCAGGTCTGTCTGCAAAGACACGGTGTTCCAGAGCCTCCGCTTCAGCCTCGCAACCTTGCAATTTCAGCAGGTGCAAACCTGTATTTCCCACTTCGTAATTGTTTCTGCTGTATTAAATTCACTTCAAGATACAAGCCATACAAGAACTGGAAACAGGAAGCACAAGGGACCCACAACCCCTGAACCTGAATTAGGACTGTGCTCCGGTTTCTCACTCATGTTCCAAGTGCAGAGTGAGAACTACAAAGGTAAGGATTCAGGATGGGGGAGGGGGGAGAAAAGACCCCCCCACCACCACCATTTTGCCACATCTCAGTCCGTTTGCCAAGTAAAAGCGGTGGCATTCCAAGGATACTATGATCGGTTTTGAACGACTGTGTGTTCATCTACAGACACCAGGTTGGTCACGATGAACAAAATGGGGAACGCTCAGATTTGCACCAAGTTCACTGTGGGGAAAGGGACACCCTCGGAGGGGAATCCCTCCCTTTAAGAGTTGCCTCATGGGTGAAGAAAGGCAGGGCTTGCTTTCTGCTTTGAAGAGGATTCTTCCACACACATTCCAGGTGGGAGAAGGAGAGCTCAGACGCCTTTTGCCCTCAAGACAACAGCCTGAGGGAGGATTCCGGGAAAAGAGGCAACGCAACAGCGGCCAGTCTTCGTTCTGGACCTCTTTGTCCTGCTGTGCTGGAAAGGAAGGGCCCAACCTCGCTCTGGAGGTGGGAGAAGAAAGTTAAAGAGGTTCACAGCTCCTTGTATTGGCTGAAGAAAACGAGCTACGTCCTGCGGTGGCAGACAAAAATGCACAAGTGCTGCCCTTGGCCAGAACCAGTGTTGGGAACGAAACAACCCTCCACAGGCCAGCGGAGTGTTTGCATGAATGGCTGGGCGGGGCAGCACCCACATTTGCAAAGAGGCACTCTTGCCTGGCCATCGCCTATCTGGGCACGTATTCAGGAAACAGAGACTGCCTGCCTTCGTATGAGGATGCAGTTCGGTGATGCAGTTCAACGTCTGCCTGGACGGACCCCTTCAAATAGCAGAGAGGGTCAAACCACATGGGTGGATGGTAACCCAAGAAGAAGAAACAGGCCTCCTTCTTAGGGAAACCTAGCAAATGCCAGGCAGAAAGGCTGCGGAGCCGGGCCTTCACCCTCTCATCCTCATTGTTTGATGTACACGGGGCTTTCTGTACCAAGGAGGAACCAAGATATGTTATTTCCGCCATCCGCAGCTTTGAAGTGTCAGAAGCCACAACGCTTGGCACCACTGCGTCTTGCTGTTTTGTTACGAGGTTAACTTCCGAACAGCCACTTCCTCCCAGAGGGTTCTCAAGGACAAAGAATTTTGCAAGAACCCTGCAAGAGAATTTGCAGCCAGTTGTCATTACATGCCAGTCAGTTACGCAACACAGCAGTTCTGTGCTGGAACACTTACTGGTCGGAGTGCCAACTGTGCCACAGTCAAATCCCCCACAGCCCCAACCCAGGGGGACACCTTCCAAGCCAGCCTGGCTCATTCCGGCTGTTTCAACGACCAGGTACGAATAATCCAGCAAGTAGTTTTGTGGAGCTTTGCCTCTTGACCTCTGCTTCAAGTTCGCTTAGCCCTTATGATTGCAGGGAGAGAAATTCAGGGAGAAGAAATGCAAGTGTATGCCAGTGACTCACCAAAGTGATGGAGCAGTTCAGAACTTGAGTAACTACTAGTGGTAAAAGCAATCTTTATTTTTTATTGCCAGCTGTGTCGTTTCTAGGGAATTATTAACCCCACCAGAAGCAAGAAACAAGTGCTTTGAAATTGTGTTAATGCTACTCGGTGGGAACCAAAATGCACAGGTTGCATAAATGCTTACCAAACAATGTTACACAAGTACTGCCGTGTACGGAGGCCCTTCCCGCACACAGATAATTGCCACTTGGCCATGTAACAATCTCCCAACAGGGAGTTGCAACACCAGTGGAATACCAAGTATAAAGCAAAGTCAACAAAATAACTGGTTTGCTTTGCTTTTTGCTATCTAAGTCCAGCTCTCTCTCTCTCTCTCTCTCTCTCTCTCTCTCTCTCACTCTCGCTCTCTCTCTCTAACAAGTGAGGACCTTAAAAGCTATACCGAATGGTACTTTGGTATATTCAGTTCATCAAGCAATGGTTAATAGTAAAGTGCCTTTTCCGGTTTTGCTTTTGGTCATCTTCTCTTTCCATTGCCCCACTTCCAAATCTCCCATTTCAGTCACTCCCTTTTAAGTTTTATAGTAGGGACAATCAGGTATAATTACATAAATATCTTTGCTACTGCCATGTACAGATTAACCAACCCCAACTTGCTGGATGGAGAGGATGCAAGCTGAAGTTCAACTAATCTGAAAGGTATGAGGTCAAGGAAGGCTGGTCTACTGGCAAAGCTGCATAGAACCCCGAAAAAGCACTGAGAGCAATTGCAGTCCTTACGGCTAGAAGCATTTGCTGGACAACCCCTGATAAAACCTTCCATTTCAAACCTGAATTATGCAATATTACAGGCATTCTGGCAATTTATACAGAAATGATAAAGGGCTGCATCTAATGTTAGAGTAATTTAAATACCATTCACAGCAACTGGTCTGCTGCAAGAGGACTAAGACTGGACGCAAGCCAAAGCCCTTAGAATTCAACTTCGAACAGGACATTTTGATTTATTTTTTTTTTAAGCAGGCTGCCTTGCCTATGGAATCAGGACAACATTCTGTAGTGAGAAGTACATTCCCCTGTGCTGCAGTTAACGAGGTTAAAATAAAACGGCAGTTCTGGTCCTAATTTGGAGCAATGGACAGGCTCTCATGTTCCCAGTCAACTTAACACAAAGCCTCTCATGCATTCTTCACTGTTAACCTCGATGTGGTATTGTATCCTAATGGGAGGTAATGTTACACCACGGGTTATCACTCAGCTTTAAATGCACACCCAAAACGCTAATGTAGCACTAACCATGCTTAGGATTTGGCATCCATAAAGGCACCACAGGAGAAGAGTGATAATCAATCTCTTAGCCATGAGTTAAGAAGTCAGAGATGTGACCCTATACACGTTAAGACAGGGAACTGCCATACCAGCTACCAGCTGGGGTATGCCCAAAGCCACAGGCTGTTTTAACTCCTGAAAATGTGCCTAGAATTGCATTTCCATCTGCACTGGATTGTATTCATCGAATCTGTATTTACAGACTCATGGTCTGCTGGTCCATCTGGTTCACTGGCCAGAGAACTGCGTTCAAAAAACGCTCCCCCCCCCACCCCCACGTATGAACCACCTAGGAACACAGATGTGCGTTTCAGCTGTTACAGCTAACAGACCATCATGAAGCAGAGCAAATACTATTTAGGTCCTTCTCTTTCAACTCTGCGGACTGACATCCGATTAGGAGGCCTGCGCAGTCTTCTTGGCCCATCAAGCCCTTCCCCTGACCACAAAAAGTTTTGATTAATGGCTAGATATGGCGAGACGTACCCACTCCTCTCCACTCTTAGGGCTGGGCAGTTTAACCTTGATC